CCCCAAAACCCCAAAACCCCAAAACCCCATCAAGTAAAAAATATAAGCATTGTTGTTTAATAATTATTTCATTATCATAATAAATAAAACACTTTACATAAATGTTAGATCCAATTGAGTTGCCCAAGGATTGGTATTAACTTCGTATAAGTAAATTTAATAAAAATAACATTTGAAAGGCTAGCACTATAAGCTCTTTGTGAACGTTAAGGACTAAGTGTGTTCTTTTGCTCCTGTTTTCAGTCTAGATAGAATAGATTCGATTATGGTAAGATAAAAACTCAAATTCTCTAACTATTAATTAAAGAACGGAATGCTTGGTTTAAAATTAGACAACAAAAAGATAAAACTAGAAATCGAGAAAATGAAAAAATCGTTGAACTTGACTGACAATCATAAACTAATAGATGAAAATGATGAAGCAATTAAAGAAAAGCAACAAATAATACAAACAGAAAACTAAAAACTGCTCAAAGAATTACAGAGTTCTTTGAGTAATCTTAATCTTAAATTAAATGAGGAAATGAATGATGTATTAAGAGAAATAACAGATGAAACATCCCTAATAAATGAACTAGCTGGGCAATTTTTTTAGAGTATCCCTCATTTTTAAGAGTCGTAAGTTACTGTCTAAATATCAATATATATATAGAGTAAGACCGCATGAACCTCAACATCTCAGATTTATGACCACTTTATATATAAATAGTCGAGCAATGGGCAAAGGAGTTGGTTAAAATAAGAAGCAAGCAAAGACAAATGCAGCTATTAACGCTCTGAAGTTAATTTGCCCAGATATATATGAATAATGGAAAGCAAAATTTAATGGAGAAAAATTATAAAATGAAGTTTAGCTATTGTCCAATGATGCTAATCAAAGCAAAAATTTTAAGCTTAATCCAGAAATCAAAAGCAATGAGAACACCTAAAATCTCAATGATGATAAGATGATAATAGATTAAGCTTAATTTGAATTACCATATGATAATAAACTCCTAGCGCAAACTTAAATTGATAATGCTTCATTGTCAGCAAATAGTGCAACAAATATTTTTGTCGATGAAGATGATGAAGGAGTTTTAGTTTATGATTGCAAGCTAGATGATCCCTAGTTAATGACTGGTAAAAAGCACCTTTGCGAAAAATATACACCTTTAACAGTTATCAAGGCTCTTGAAGGCAAACATAAAAAATTAAGCTTCTAGGAAGCAGTTGCTGAGTCTAAAGATTTAAAGAAGAATGTCAATGTCTACACATGCACTTTTTAATTGAAGGGATATGATAGAGTAGGCACTCATACAGACTTTAATAAGAATAGAGCGAGATAGATGGCTGCATAAAAATTTTTGAAAGCTTTGTTTCCCACAGATTTCACTTGGAAAGCAGTAGAAAGGCTTGTATAGTCGAGTAAGGAACCATTAAGATTACTGCTAGATCTGTGAGAAATATAGATAACTCAATAAGTCTAATGAGACTTAGAACAAATTGATATTAAGACATGATAAATTTTATCTCAATATAAATTTCTTTAACTATTCTGATCCTATCTTGATTGAATCAATACTTTATGGGGTTTTGGGGTTTTGGGGTTTTGGGG